TGGAAAAATTTGGTCACAAGGTGTAAAAATGATGCCCGGAGGGGTCTTGAAAGTTTGGTGGCGACATTTGCTATACTTTAGGAGATATCGACTGCAAAGGAGAGAGGGGGCCATTTCGCGCCGCCCTCCCCCCCCCCTCAACGGGGCTTTCAGTTGCTGCTCTCACAGAACTATTGGTTATATTACAACGTAGTGGAATTGCAAGTGGCAATATAAGCTTCCTGCCAGCGCCGGACCAGAGTTTAAACATGCAGGCTGAATTTTAACATTTAACTTTTGGATTTTTTAAACCGTTGAGCTTTTTAGAAGTTGTATGAGCTGTTCAGCTCCTTTTGTGGTCCATCACAGCGGGCTTGTATGTCATTTGTCAACCAAAATCGAATTAAAAACTTTTTATTTGGTCTGGCTACCTCGCCAACTTCTTAACTGGATCGTTTAGTAGCTTTTGATTGGGCACTGCCCACGTTGTCTGTCTAGCTTTTCGTGTCATAGACAGGGTTGTATACCAATCAAGTCGATTGAATTGATTGATTTGATTCAACGCGTATTTTGAGTTGATTGGATTGAGTCGATTGACTTTTCGAGATGACTGGTTGACTGACTCGTTTGACTTTAGCGACTGGTTGACTGATTTGATTCCCGAAAATTAGAGTGACTCGTATGATTGAGTCGATTGAATGGAAAGTTTAAATAAGTTTTAGTCGACGAAAAATAATGACACCAATTGATGACATCAAAGATCACAAAACTACACTGAAAACTGCTTGTCATCACAACTGCAATATGGGGTAGATGGCCAAATAAAGAACAGGGCCTAAAAATGAACAGCCAACTTTGACTTTCAACTGCAATAACTGCTCCAATCCTGTGATAGAACCCGGCGATGCACCTACCTACCTTTCTGCACTCAGCAGGAAACTTTTTTTTAATCCAGATGATAAAGTGCAAGGCCCTATATACTAATAAAGTGTGATTAATTAATAATTCACATCTCCACATCTCCTCAGAAACAACCCACTGAACTCTATAAATATCTGAGGGCTGTTCACGGGCCCTGTGTGCGGTCGGACCGCACACAGCCTCCAAGCTCCGGCCACTGCGTCCCTACGTCAGCCTTCCGTCACCGCACACAGCGATCGCTGTGGCCGGTCGGGACTGGCCACAGCGGAGCGTCCACCGCACGCAGCCGTGACGTCAGAGAGCCTACCCATCCCCTACCCCCACGCCTGCTGGACGCACCGCACACAGCGCACGCAGCAGTGTGCGGTGCCCGTGAACACCCCTCTGAAACCCCTACAAAAACAACTGAAACAAAAGCGTCGTTTTCGTCTCGCTAATTCGTTTACGTAAATTAATAGCCAATTTGCTGCATTGTTTAATTTGCAGCAGAACGTTTGTTGATCCTTTTCTCCTGAGAGCCTAAGCATAACATATTTAATATATTTCATTTTCCTTAAAATATTTTACCGAATATTATTAAGTGGTTTTATTTCAAATGAAATAATAATTAAAACGAAGTTGGTGTTGTACAACCGATTTATTTTATGATGATCTACCATACTACATGATAATCAATGACGTCATCTTACCAAAAAATCAAAAGACGTAGAATAAGGATTTATAAAAGCTTAGCATACTTATCGGCAAAACGTTTTCTTTGTTTTTTCGCAGTCGCACCATAAAATGTTGAGCCAAGCTGCTGCGCGCCCTAACTCTTCAACAACAACAACCATAAAATGTTTTGAATTCTTCACATATAACCTATCTACCTTCGTTGGTACTGTTGGTAGCCAGTGACACATCTAGGCAGGTAAGTAGGTACTTACCTACCTGCTTTCCTGCTGTCTTCATAAAGCATACCTAATGAAGTTGTCAAATTTGTAGCACATTTTCAACACTTTCATATGGTGTTAGTGTGGCATGAAACCTAGCTAGGTTCATTATGTTCAGGGTTAGAGATGCCACAAATTTGCAATTTCATTACCCGCCCCGCCCCGCAGCTACCCCTTGCCCAACCACAACTACCCGCAAGCTGATTTTGGCTGAGCCGAACCCACCAAAAACCCGCAATTTCAAAAACCTGCTTTTGCAAGAAAAAAATACAGCTGGGTCAATGCTAGAGCTATATAAACCTTACTTGCTTCATTGCTGTGCAGAAAAAGACAGCCAATCAAATAGTAAGGACTTGAAATTGCTATGCTAAGTCCTCAGGAAGTGCACACTGTAGTGGAAAATGAATAATGCATCAATACATTTGAAATTCCTTTCTGAAAAGAGTTCAGTAAAATCTTTCTCTCACCTTACCCTTCAGCATTGGCTGAGGATCAAAATTTCACTCTGGCTCCCTCTCAATGTTAGGCTTCTGGAATGATATTGCTATCAAAATGAATGTTGATATAAAAAGATATGCGATTTCCAGTTAAAAATAAATAGTGACACGGTGAATAATGAGCATCCGGTCGATCTACACATAAAACAAATCATGCAAAATCCGAGCAAAAACCAACTAACCACCAATGAACTACGCATTTCTGAAAACATGCGTCAGAAGCGTCACCAACAGCTGATTGCAAGGAATGTTACAGCGACTAAATTATTGCAGCCGTAGTTAGTGCGAACTTGTTGCGAAAACACCGTTGTACAATGCATATTCATGTGCCATTCTGATAAAATTATTTTACACAACAGCTAAAGTTTTACAATTCAGAGATTAATCACCGGTTAAGAAATAAAGAGACAGCAAATACTAAATTAAATGTAATAATTTTATAGATGGTCTTGGTAATGCTCTCCGCCTGGTCCTCTCTCGGCATACAAATAATAAGGACGTAAAAAGACAAAAGAAATAAATGCGACCAGCTACGTGGTTTTGTAACATGTATAACTGCTGTTTTGAGGCATTCAAAAACCAAGACAGAAAAATTGATTGTAAAATTATTATTGCGTCATCAATGACAGCTTTCCTTCGCCTCAGAGACCAAAATTGACGCAGTCAAATACCAATCCTTGTCATAATGTCGGAAGTGCGCCAGTATTGTATTGCGCTGTGTTTGGGCCGCATGCCAGTCAATATTTTGATTTTTTGTAACAGTAAGGGTAATTGGTGTGCTATTTTCGTTATATAGGGTGGGACAGAACATAGAGTAGGATAGGTAATCAATAAATTTGCATCAAATTTTGTTTAGCTGATAGGTCTTTTTTATGCCGACCAGACGCAAATAAAGTAACATGTGGTATTTGCTCTGATTTTCAACATCTCATTTAAGTCTGGGTTCTTCCATAATGTATATCTAGTGCACACTGCACATGGACTTCAGTTCAGCTTCCTATAAGTTTGCTTTCATGTTCTTTTATGTTTTATGGAATGCTTTCATCAGCATTTATTTATGCTTTGTAGTTTGTTGCTTGTACCCTGGTTTGGTCATTGCTAGACTGTGGATGCTATTGCTGGTTGTTTTCAGTTTTGCATTTAAAATGTGCTGCCATGATATATTTTATATTTGGTTCTGTTTTAAAAGTTGTTTCGATCAATATTGTATTGTTAACCTGAGCAAATGCACTTGGCATTGTGTTTTGCATCTAAAAAAAAAAAAATTAAAGGTTCTTAAGTCTGACCGCCAAATACCCGCCACACGACAAGTTTTGCTTCTCGAACCCGCCAAAAACCCTGCGGGTTTTGAAAACCCGCAGAAAGCGGGTTCGCGGGCTCAAAAGTGGCATCTCTATTCAGGGTTCAATTCAGAAGAGCTCCGCATAACTCACATAAGAGACAGACGGGGGCTTTACATGGGGTAGATGGCCTATTGACCTAGCTGGAATATGGCCAAAATTAAATTGACAACTTTTAGGTGAAAGGTGGTGATTTGGGTTAAGGGGTGTTTGTTGAAGTCAACTACTGGGTTATTTTGCACCCATTAAATGAAACTTCTGCTCCAATTCTACCCATTGAACCTCAATATCATGATCCACCTGTCCATCACTATGTATCCTTCCTTATTACATTGAAACTTTGAATGGCATGGCAATTTATAATTTTAAATGACAATATTTTTATGTTTCTTCTGTAGGTAGGTAGGTAGGTAGGTAGGTAGGTAGGTACACCAGACTGCCATGGACACTTTTCCAAGTTGGTGGGGCAAAAAACCTAATGTATATCTTGGTTTGAGTCGTTTGATTGAGTTGATTGATTCCTTTCATTGTCGCGTTTGAGTCGATTGAATCAATTCCCGAAAACTGCTCTGACTTGATTGATTTGATTGGTTTCCCAAATTTGTCGTGATTGAATTGATTGCTATTGATTGAGTCGTATACAACCCTGGTCATAGACACTGTCTATGACACGAGAAGAGGCTGCTTACATCGTTTGTCGCGGTTGGATAATACCAATCCACGTCCCAGTGGCTGCTCGATCGCACTTTCCCTGGCCCACCTCTCCCACCAGGCTAGACTTTGCCCGGCACAGCCGTCGCCTCAGTGCCTCGGGCGGTGACCCGTTCAAAGGGGCTCACAATTCGTATGGTGCCGTGGCTCTCAAACCAATACAGGACAGTGAAACGCAAAGGCTCGCTTTCCATATAAGGCGAACGGCTGATTCTGGCGCCGGGGCTTCATTCATGCTAAGGCGCCCAATCACAGCGCCGCATTTCAGTTAGTGTCGGGTGCAAAAGCTACTATGCTCCGCCCCTCCATCACGTGACCCTGCCCTCACGTGGCCTCAGTCACGTGGTGTTTCCACTTCTTGGCGCATGGCGGCGCTAGTCTCGCAGGGGCGGTGGTAGCTTGCTCCCCCGCCGTCCGGGGGTGATGGGTAGCAACTGCTGGTGACTGTACCTAGCGCAAAGAGAAGACACACAAAGACTCACAGAATCACATACACACCGTTACATAAACACCTATGGTCTGACAATAGACACAGACGGACAAAACACACTCAACAACAGACACAGGGACACACAGATCCCCCCCCCCCCCACACACACACACAGGTCGGCCCGGCTCACCTGATATTCGCCGCCTCCGCCGTGGTCGGCTCCGGTGGACAGAGCTCAGTACCGTCCACACACTGTTGGACCGCCCGCTCTGTCCACTGACCCGGCCGGTGGACGCAGTGCAGCTCGTGCCCCTCCCGCTCCTCCGTCGGCCTTTGTTCCCGTCTGGAACTGCGTCGAATATCAACACCGCGAGTCGGTGTGTTGGCAGAATCGATCGTGTTCAGTGAGTCGGCGGCGCGGTGTCCTGGCCTGATGACGTCAGTGGGGTGTCACCAGGGTTTTAGGGACAACACGGGCCGCCGGTCGATGTGCAGTTCCCCCCTCCCCACCCCTCCCCTTCCCTTCCCCAATCCCCGGGACAACTCATGCAACTCGGCAAAACAAAACATAGTGACGAGCAGGCATGTGCAGGGATGGAAGAGGCGTGTCTATGATCTCAGTGGATATCTCGACAAAATGGAGGGTTCAGACCTACATCTCATCCCTCGCCCGGTCAGGGGTTGGGGAGGGGGAGATTGATCAACCCTCGCCCGCACATGGGAGGGGGGTGGTAACCACCTTCCCCCCCCCCCCCGGTAGTCTTTCTGCTCTGCACTCAACATTGTTAGAGCTAGAAGTCTGATTTTTCGCATAGCTGCTCCTCTATCCTTTCTTGAAGTTTCTGTGGTTTTTGGCTCGGAGATATGGCCTTGTTTTTCAGGTCATGTCATGACCCAAATGACCAATTCTCAACATCTTGCGTTGGCTATGGGCCTTGTGAGCTTTTGACACCTTGCTTTCGGCCTTTTTTTGCCAGTCTTACCTCCCACCTATCATGGATGATGGAACATGTTGTTCGACGATGTACAGATGTCAAGGTCAGGGTCAAGGTCAGCCTAGGCCATCTAAAATAATTGCGTTTTAGGCAGGCTGAATTCACTTTTCGTGAAGTTTTTTGACTGCATTTTTGGTAAAAGCTTCTCAGATCATGATTTCATGTAATATGGACACATAAACAATCGGTGCACATATCAGTATACACACAGACACACACAGACATACAAACACATATCATTGACCTTGACCTAACTTGACCTGAAATGACCTCAGCAGCAAAAATATGGTCGGGTAGTGTGACAAAGAGGTTCTAGCTGGATTAGCACCAGAAAACGGCATCGTCATCGGTATATGATTAGCAGCGCACTTGATATCCAACGGTGACCCAACGGTGACCAGCGGTGACAACGATGACGAGGGTTAACCCGCGACCGCCTGGGGGGGGGGGGTCGGATCCGACCCCCCCCCCCCCTCCGTTTTTCTTGAATACCTCAAGAACCGCTTACGCTATCAACTTGAAACTTGGCATACCTTCTCCCCTATCAGTTTGACGTCTCCTGTGTAATTTTTAAGATTTTAAAAAAAATTAGGTATATCGATTTTAGTGATGTAACTACATGACGTTTTTAGTCAAAAAGTGGTAAATGTTTAAAAAATCGCCAAAAATCAGGTTTTAAAGCAAATTGCAAATTAAGGAAATGAATAGACGCAGCTCAACGAGTTCTTTACAATGGCCATCTCGGATTTTCCATAAAGTGCGTTTTTCACCCCTCAAAATTCAAAAAACTATTTTTTTGGAAAACAGCTATTAAAATCCAAAATTTTGGGAATTTCAAAAAAAAGGAATATATGTTATAGAGCTCTAGTAGAACATTAGATGTCGCAAATTTCAACTTTCTATCTTGATTGTTTTACCCCCAAATTGTAATAATAGCTCCAACACGCATAGGGCATGGTGACGTCATAAGCATTTTCGTGAATTAGAAGCATTTCTGAAAATCGCATGTGAAAACAAATGGCACCACTAGATTCCTGGGACAAAGCTGGTCTAGAAAAGTGCATTTTTATGTCAAAAATAAAAAGTTGAAAAATTGACCCTTTTTCTCAGCCCTCGTTTAGTTATGTGTGGTAAAAACAATTCTTTATGCTTTCAATGCACACTTATCTCCAGCACAGTGACTTGGGGTCACACATAACCATTACCATCGGATTCGGCGTGAAAAATAAGCCATAAAACATGTGTCGCACGCCCATGTAGCAGACAGTGAAAACCGTGACCTTTCGTGACCTGACCTGACCTTGACCCGTACTTAGTATGACCCCAATACGCACATGGTACCTTCACTAGGTCTTTGAGGTCATTTTTGGTGAGTTTCGAGCAGCAGCTAACGATTCCGCTGTCCGTAAGCCTAATCATGCAAAACCCCAGAATTTGACATTTGACCTGACCTTGACCCGAAAGTTGACCTCAATCTTAAAATCTTAACCCTCGCCGGACCTATTGGTTTTCTACATACGCGCCGGCCGAGGTGGGGGGGGGGCGGGTACGACCCCCCCTCGCCGTTTCGCCCCTGGTGGAGCTAGCGCGTCGCGGAAAAAACGAGCGTGTGCGCCGTTACGAGACGCAGAGATTGGTACCCGATTTTAAGGTCCTAGGTCAACCGGTGACCTCTGAGGTCAGGTCAAGTGCCCCAAGGTACGGTTCAGTTTTTTGGTGAATAACTTCGCAAAAAACGGCCGCAGAGCGCCGATTTTGGCAGCATCGTGTTCACCTCGCTCAGGCGCGTCGAATGATATACTTTTTGTCCGGGTCAGGTCAACTTGGGGTGTTGACCTCAGGTCAAGGTCAGGTCAGCACCGCCAGGTCACGAAGTTGGTCGAAAGAGGTCATGTCGCATATCATTCGATTCGGCAGGCCTTCCTGAGTCCATTGGTGCCTTCCCCGACTCGCTAGCTCAATTTGATCAAGAGTTATTGACGAAAAACTAATTTGACCTTGATGACGTCATAAATGACGTCACGCAAGGTCAACATTGCAAAAGTGACGCATCTAACCTTGCAAGGAGTGCATAAAATCACGATTCTGTGTGCTTGAGATAGTTGGAGATCGTTCCCGGCGCCAGAATAGCAGTTTTCATTTTTCCCCATTGACTTATAATGGTGAGGTCACGAAAATGACCTGACCTCATATGACCTTTAGGAAAAATCCGAGATATACAAGTTGTGGGACTCATAATGGATACTAGATCCTGCAAGTTTCATTTCCCTGTGACATCTCCTCTGGCAGTGAGGGCGTTGCGAAGTTGCGACATCTGAAGACCGTGCAGAGGTTCACTTATGACGTCATAGGTCAGTGACCTGACCTGACCCAAAAATGCGGTTGGTGCCAAAAGATGCGGCTTGGATCAAAGGTCAGGTATGCCAAGTTTCAGCTCTCTATCGCCAGCGTGTTCGGAGCTATCGCGAAAAAACCCTATGGGGGGGGGCACCCGCCCCCCCCCCTCGGCCGGCGAGGGTTAAGAGTGCTTTGGGAAGGTCTCGTAGATACCTTTCGAACGCCGCCTCGCGGGGCTCGATGCGACCATTGGTTCTCGAGATAACAGGGGGGGGGGGGGTCGGATCCGACCCCTTCCCCCGGCTGTCGTGGGTACGGAATTAGCCCAGGCGGTGCAGGGTTAAGCGGGAGGTGGGGGGAATGAAAAGCTTTTATACATAAATAAGTAAAAGTCTATTCTTGAATGAAATGGAAACGGTTAACCCGCGCCCTGCTGGGGGGGGGGGGGTTAACACCCCCTCCACCTGTGGTTTTTGGCACACTTTATCATGCATCAATTCTACACATGTTGTAAAAATTTCAGACCAAGGTCATTCAAGGTCAGGTCACCAGGTCACTTGATGTGACCCCACCTCATAAAAAGTTTCAATGTCTGCCATAGCTACACCGAGTGACCAATCGCTTTGAAACTTTCAGCGATTGCTAAGAACTATAGTATGTACAAAATGTATTTCTCAGAATTTTGATATCGATGACCTAAGGTTAGGTCAATTTTGCGACCTCCCCATTATAAGTGAATGGGAGAATATTGAAAGGCGCTTTTTTGGACGAAAGCCATTATAAACACTCCCAAACACTGAATAACAAGTAACTAAGACACACTGAAGATGACAATAGTATCCGTGACCCCTGTTTATGCCCTTGAGGTCATTTCAGGTCACGGATGGTATCTAACAGTTTTTCACGAAAAACTTTTGATAGAGGCGTGCTTAAGCGATGAAAACGTCTTAGATGTGTTCAGCTCGACGATACGGATCGACTGATATGCAACATGACCCTTTCCGGTCAGGTCATGACTTGACCTGAGGTCAAATTTTCAAGTTTACCTTTCAAGGTCAAGTTACAGTTCATTCGATGCGTCCTGACGAGAGGAACACGATGCCGGTAAAAGTATGTAAGCTCATGCAAGGCTTGGGTCAAAAGTTATTGCAGAAAAACTGTTTTCGAAAAAATCGGCTATTTTGGCAGTATTTGCCCCCTGCAGGCAAAACCGTTGAAGATAGGTCAAGTCTGAGAGAACTATCCAGAAAGGGCGTTAATAGGGCTATCGAATGCGCTTTTCCGCGGCTCTGCAGCTCTATTGGTTCCCGATTTATGCGTTGGCTTCTTGGAAATTGTCGACATTCGACCTGGAAATCGGCGAAATTTTGCCTTCAGTGACCTCTGGTGACCTGACCTTTGACCTGACCAAAAAGTGACCGAGTGATTTCGTCATTATTTTTGGCGCTCTTTCGAACACCGCCTTCTGCGTATCGCTACGTGGCCCAGGAGCCGAGTTAGAAGGGGGGGGGGTGTTCAAACACCCCCCCCCCCCTCAGCAGGGCGTGGAAATCCAGGACCCCCAGCCGGGAGCGGGTTAAAATGCACAAAATACGGGGGTCACAAATGCGGTTCACTGAATCGTTCTCGTAGGGCCACGTGGGCCGCGTCGTACGTAAGGCCACGTCGGCCACGTCGTGCACCGGGCCGTCGCGCACCGGTGGAGTCCCGTCGAAGACTGTCGGGCCCCCGTCCCGTCTCAGCCCTCGTGGTAGCACAACACGTGGGCCTGAGAACCAGGACAGGGGCCAGATGACACATATGTGCCCGGCGCGGCGCGGCGGACCGACCGCCGCGCTCCGAGCGCCGGCCGTCTTTGCGAAAATACCTAAAAATACCAACGTATTTACATGCTAACACCAAGGTTTACCAATGTTGTACAGGAGGGACATTTTTATTGGTCCACTTAGTACCTACCCTTTAAATATGGTGTTTCTAGATGCCATATATGTCA